GAGAGAGAGAGAGCAAGAGAGCATGCAAGGATGAAGACTGTCCCAGTGCCTCCTCCTGCTCCCGGCACTTGCTGGTGAGCGGTACTGCGGGTGACTGCCCCCCCACCAGATGGGGAAGGTCTAGCAACTCTGCATGGCTGGGTGGGTGTGTGCAAAGGAGGGGGAAAAGGCATACAATAGGATGGAAGAGAGCGAGCATTAAGACTATCCTCCTGAATCCCGTGCCATCCCATGCCATCCCATGCCATCCTGTGCCATCCCATGCCATCCTATGCCATCCCATGCCATCACAATGACTTTTATTCCCATCCCTACCATCGCACTCACTGCACAACGTAGAACTCAACACGAATCTCCTCTGCACGGCACTGGGCATCGGGAGGCGCCACCACCCACCACGGGTACTGCTGCACCAAACCCACACCAACACCCCATGCCATCGCTCCCCCTCCCCCTACAACCCCTGCCACGGGGCCCACCCCTGCCCCCATCCCTGCCCCCACCCCTGGCCCCACCACTGCCCTTAACCCTGCCCCTGCTCCTGCCCCTGCCCCTGCAACCCCAGCGCCCCCTGCAATTGTCCCTGGAGTGGCGAGCTCCGGTCCTCTAGGGGACGCGGCACTGGACCCGCCTCTGCTACCACTACCACTCGTAGCAATAGCACCACCACTCACCACACCACCAACCCCAACGCCAACCCCACCACCAACCCCAACACCGACCCCACCGCCAGCAGCCATATAACCAGCCCCACCACTCGCCCAGCCAGGGCCACTAAAACTGCCAGCACCGCCACTGCCGCCGCCGCCGCCGCTGCTGCCCCCGCTTCCAAAGGAGCCTCGGCCCCTCCTGTGGAAGGATGCAAGGGCAGGGCTGCTAGCCACGGCATTAGCCACAGCAGGAGCCACGGCAGGAGGACGGAACTGATGGGGACTGGCAGGAGGAAGGGAGTAGCGTGGACTGTTAACAGCAGGAGAAGCAGCAGCAGCAGCAGCAGCAGCAGCAGCGGCAGCGGCGGCGGCGGCGCTGCCGCTGCTACCCACGCTATCACCCCGGGCCATCTTTGCCATAATCGCAGCCACCTGCGCTGCACGCTTCTCCCTCACTCCCTCCTCCCTCCTCCTCCTCTCCTCCTCGCCTCCACTCTCAATCTCCCCATCCTCCTCCTCCTCTTCCTCCTCGAAATCTTCCTCAGAATCTTCATCACTGATTTCCAGCACAGCGTATGTGTTTTCGTCCTCTTGAGGGTCTTGAGTGGCAGCGGTAGCGGACGCAGCAGCGGCAGAGGCGGCAGCAGCAGCAGCTGCTGCAGAGGCCACGGCCGTGGCTTCGCGAGCAACAGTGGTGAGAGACGCTCCTAGATCCGCCAGAATGCTGAGCCCTAACCCCAGACTCCCGCCGTGCTCACTTGACCCACCAGTAGCAGCAGCAGCAGCAGCAGCAGCCCCTCCAGCAGCAGCAACAGCTCCAGCAGTAGCAGCTCCAGCAGTAGCAGCACTATTTCCACCTGCATCACCACCAGTGGCAGTACTGCCGCCGGCACCACCAGCACCACCAGCAGCAGCACTAGCAACAGCGCTAAGACCCGCACTAGCAGCAGCAGCAGCAGCAGCAGCAGAGGGAGACAGGTTACTAGCAGGTTCGGAAGCCGAACCAAAAGCAGGCTGGAACGGTCGAGTCAAAGGGGCACCCATGCCTGGACCCCCAGCCCAGGCTACAGGCCTTCCCCCCGAGCCTAATCTCGGGCCTGGAGCCATGGTAACACCAGCAAGGATCCCCGTACCTGCGCCCTTGCCTCGGCCCAAACTTCCCGGTCGTCCAGGCCTTGCTCCGGCTGCTGGAGCTGAGGTGGAGGCTTGGCTGCCGAAGCTGTCAGAGTCGGGGAAATCCATGGCTGAAAGCTCGTAGGTGCTGACACTGCTACCGGTAGGGGAGAGTGTGCCAGGGGTACCGAATCTTGAATCTCCTGACCCATATTCCTCCTCCTCCTCTTCCTCCTCCTCCTCATCCTCATTCCCTTTTTCCTCCTCTTTCCCGATCGTTTTGGCTTCCTCTCCTTCTCCACCTCCCCCCTCCCTCCCCTTGTTGTTACCCTTTCCGACCTCCCCTCTCCCGTTCTCATCTTCCCCACCTCCTTCCTCCTTCTCATCGACTCCTTCAACCGATTGACTCCTTCCCCTGCCCTCATCGACTCCTCCTGCCTCCCTAACCTCCCCGTCACTACCAATTTGAAACCCACTTCCTATCCCACCAATACCCACAGCACTGCCAGCACCAGTGCCAGAACCACCAGAGTCACCACCAGTGTCACCACCACCACCAGCAGCAGCACTGCTTCCCACATCACCACCAGCAGCAGCAGCAGCACTGCTTCCCACATCACCACCACCACCATGGGTCGCGCCAGCATTAGCTTGCGATCCATTTGAATCCATGCTCCCAGTGCGAGCTGTCTCTCCCATCGCCACCTCTCCCTCCCACTCCTCCTTGCCTTCCTCTTCGCCACCGTCCATCCCATCCACTTTACAAGCATCTCCGCTATCCGCCCCAGTTTTCCCAAGGTGGCTTTCCAATCTCGTGCTTTCTGAACCGTCGGATCCGCTCACTCTCTTCACCTCCTCTTCCTCCTTCACCCCCTCCCCCCTCCCCTGCCCTTCATCCTCGGTAGTGTCAGATTCGTCTAGCCCCTCTGAACTTCGACTCTCCTCCTCTCCATCACCATCGTCATCACTACTCGCCTTCGTATCGCTCCCCTTGACCTCATTTCTATCCTTCGTTCCAACCAAACCATCAGACCCATTATCTGTGCTCCCTTCCTTATCTGGCTCAGCTCTTCTAATCATCTTACCACCACCACCACTGCCGCCGGCGCCGCTGCTGCTGCTGCTGCTACCAGGTGTCTCAGTCACAATATTCACCCCTTCCCCACCTGACTCCACCCCTCTTACCTCCGCTCCACCACTCCTCCTCTCCTCTGATACTCTCCTTCCCTCAGCCTCTCCTTCCTTCCTGCTGCCTCCTCCTCTCCCGTCCCATCCCCCAACCCCTCCCAACCCACCTGTACCTCTCCCCTCCCCTTCTCCACGGGTCCTATTATGTGGAGATGGGGGGGTATTCGCAATGGCGTTAGCAGCAGCAACAGCAGCTATCGTAGACGGGGAGAGAATAGCAGCAGGACCGTACTCCACTCCTCCCATACCCCCAATACCTCCCAGAACCCCTGTATTCCCCACTCCACCCCATCTTGCCCCTTCTCTACCTTGCACCATCACTTCCGCCTCTCCCCCCTCTCTTCCCTCCTCCCCATCTCTTCCGACCATCTCAAACTCCCGCTTCCCATCCCCCACCATGGGACCTGCTGACGTGGATGCAGAAATTGGCATGGCCACGTCAGCATCGATAATATTACTCCGCCTGTTAGCTGCACCAATAGAAGGGCTGGAGGACCCAGGGCCCATCGACACAGGTAGCTCCTCTTGGCCTCCGTCCGAACCTATATGTGGAGGTTCGGCCCGAACGTGTTCAGCCCGAGCCGAGCCTGCGTCTGCCCCGCTTGGGTCCCATCTATCAACGATGCCAGACCAAGCCGGAACCCCAGCTCCGTATTCCCCAAATGTTTCTGGCATAAGTGTAGCCTGTCCAGCTACAAACGGAGCAGCTTCTATCGAGTCTGGAACTCCTCCGCCGTTCGCTTCCGAAAACGAGCTACCTGGTGGTTGGTCGAGGGTGTACTCGTTATACTCAGCTCCGATTTCGCGAGGATCCCACTGACCGCCGAAATGCTCTCTTCCTTCTACACCCCCGTATGCCTCCATTTCGCGTCTTAAATACGCCTCATTTCCATACTGCTGCTGGAGGAATTGTTGATGCTCGAATTGCTGCTGCTGGTATTGCTGCTGCTGAAATTGCTGCTGATCGTACGGCTGCTGCTGCTGCCCGTACTGCTGCTGCTGCAGTAGCAGCTGTTGTCGCCTCTGCATTTCGCGAAAATACTTCTCTCTCCGCCGCCTTTCCCGCCGCTCTTGCCGGTCCTCATCTTCGTCGGAATCGGATGGAACCAACACGGATTCCACTCCACCCATTCTGTTAGTTTCCGAACTACAGGCCCGCACGGACAACTCGTTCAAAAAATGGCACCAACACAGCAGAGTTCTCAAGCAAATTTACGAAAAGGGGCTTTAACTTAAAACGACTCTAATTGGTCGAGTCAGACGGAACCAACACGGACTTCACTCCACCCATACTGCTGATTTCCGAATTACGGACCAGCACGGACAGCTCGTCCCGAATACGACACCTACGCAGCCAATTCTACACAATTTTTAATAAAAAAGGGACAATTTTAATCGGGTCTAGCAGAACGGGCGTCGTCAAGCTGATCGTTAACGTGATGTGGAGGTACCGCGTAGGAGCCTTAACCAGGCAGGACTAATTAGTGATTATTCTCGTGATCCCGCCCTGATATAATACGTAGTTAGTCGGCTGTCAGTTGTGCGATGTGTACATGGTTTCTGTGTGGGGCTGTCGGTGTCTCAAATGTGGTGTGAAACGAAGGTCAACTGACAAGACAACCAGCCGCCCATCGACAATGGCGCCCGAAATTTGTGCGGGAATGGAAGGCCCTAGGGCTTGGTTATGGGTTCGCTTGATTCCACCCACCCGCCGCACAATTGTCAACGCTCTCGACTGTAGAGTACATAGCTATTGCTGTTACACTTACACATTGAGCTCATATGAATCACAGTATATTCATTACCAGTAATCTACAGTGCCACTTCATGGCCAGCACGGCCCTCCTACGTATCAGGAAAGCAAGCCTGCATCTCGACTAGAGATAAGGTTTAGTGTAAGTGACAAAATGAAGTCACAGGGTGACAGCCTTCCGCAGAGGTGGGTGTTGATTGTCGGATTGCAGCAGGTTTATCCGTATGGTACCGTGAGCAGGCTGATCAGTCTGGAAGGAAATCTGGCATCAGCTGGAAGAGCCACTGACTGTTCCTTCAGGCTTTGGCAGCAAGTGCATGGCTGGTGGTGTCCGGAGCCCCTTGGGACTCTGTTCAAATACATAAGGAGATAACACAAAAGAAGGGGAGGGAAATGAGAAGGGGCTCTTCTTTCAACTCCAGTTCCGATTATATGGCAGCTACCCTAGTACAGTGACAGGCAGTTATATGGTGTTTGGGAGGTCCCATCTAGTAAGGTCTCTCCATTGGTTCATATTCCACAGCTGGCACGTGGCAAACTGTCATGAGAAATATGTGGCAATCACATAAAATACCCAGCAGACAGCAGGGCTCACCTTTCTTCCAGAGCACAGAGGGCCGAGGGGCATCATTCTTTGCAAGGTAGAGCCCACACGCGTTGCACAGGTGCTGCCCACTCCCCGATCGGTCCTTCCTCCAGAACGGAGTCGTGTGCGTCCCACAATTCCTGCACGCCTTCTCCTTCTCCTTCTCCCTCTCCTTTTCATTATCCTTTGACCTCTCCTCCTCCTCTTGTTCCTTGCTACGGCCACACTCTCCCTCCATTTCTCCACTCTTCCCATTCATTCTCAGAGACGCAGTGCCCTCCACCACCTCAGAACCCACTCCACCGTGCTTTTGCCTCTTTTTCCTCTTCCCTTGCACATCCACGCTCCCAGCCGCTGTGCCCTCTGCCCTCCCCAGCCTCCTCTTATCCCCCACCACTCCCGCACCAGCCTCAGAAGCAACCGTTCCGGCAGGGTTCAGAAAGCCGAAAACTCCAGCAGCAGAAACAGCCGCAGCGCCGCCAGCACCAGCACCAGCACCAGCAGCGGCGGCAGCGGCAGCTGCGGTCCAGGGGAAACCGGGGTACTGACCCATAGTGCAGGCATAAGCCCTGGCTTGATCGGCAGCAGCAGACTGGAAGCTGGGGACAGGGGAGATAGCCGGGAGGATGTGAATGGGAGTCGGAAAATGGCTCATCGGACTGATAGTGTTGACGGGGTTGACTGCGTTGACTGGTTTGACTGCGTTGACCGGACCCGCCTGGCCCCGTGGTTGCTGCGCTGCTGGGCGAATTGGCTGCCCGTCGGCCTCCAATTTGTGAAGGCCCTCCGTGCCCTGGCTGCAAGGTTTCAGCGCGAATGGGACGGCGCGGCGGGATGAAGCGCATGCTTCCACAGCTGCAGAGCACGTTGTCGTGGCGCCATTGGACGAGAGCAGAGCTGACGTGTCATTCGACCCAGAGCTCCTGCTCGCAGCCTTCCACGGGCGAAATCCCGTCGCGAGCCGCTCACGTGGTAACACCTCCACTGGCTTCGTCGCCAATTTCGCCGACGGGCTTCGCTTGACAGAAGCTTTCGTCGCCACAGAAGAAGGCACGCGGGTGCGAGAACCGTCGCCAGAGAGGGAAGGCTTGCTGACAGCCATTAGACTCTTATTAATCTCCAGGTTGACATCCGAAGCGTTAACACCAGGGGCCAGTAAGGCAGGACGCGCAGGGGAAAGGAAGGGAGAGGGACCAAAGCAGAACCACGGTGGCGCATTGGAAACCCAAGTCCTCTGTTGCGCCCCCATCGCCTGCTGTTGCGCTTGACCGGCCGCGGGTGAGTGGGCGAGCAGCACGTGGGAAGGAAACGCGGCGAAAGGAGCCCACCAGCCGGCCGCAGCTGCCGCTGGGTAAGGAGGAATGTGGCCGAAGGGGACCGGTGCTGCTGCTGGCGCGGGGAAGTGAGGAAAAGGAGTAGGGACGGAAGGAGCTGCCTTGGTTTCTGTCTCCGCTGCGACGGGGAGAGGAACGGTAGATGGCTGCGGCTTAATTGTCTTGGGGTGAGGAAGCTTCCAGTGTGAAGACACGTCAGCCGAAGCCTTTGCCGATTCAGCAGAAGGAGAGATATGATCGTCGACTTCGCTTTGGGCCGACGTGGGGCAAGGCGGGCTGAGGCTCAAGCCAATCGGCGGCGAGGGATCATCCTTGTATGAGACAGCGGTGACGTGGGAAGACTCCGGTGAGGATGAAGGAGAAAGGGAGGGGCATTGAGGAGTGGTGGGAAAGAACTGGAACGGTGAAACGGGGCTGCTTTTAACGCTCTTCTCAGTAACTGCATCCATTTTCTCGAGTAGTGGTGAAATGGGATGGATGTAAGTTGCTTGGGTGTGGTTAGCTGCGCTCCACATGTGATCAAGCTTCTGCTTTTCGTCCTTAGGACGGAAACCGCGAGATAAGGCAGAGTCAAGGTCAGTCATGAAACCAATTGTGTCGTTTGATGATAAGCTACTAACACTGTTACAGGTCAGCAGAAGTCGTACAATGTAGACAATGGAGAACCAAGTTCACTTGCCGCAAGGATACAAGGTGCTTTGGGAGATAAAAGTAAAACCTGTGTGACGTGCCAGAAAATAGAAACTCTAAAACGGCGTGCGCAAATGAGAAATGAGGAGGCGATTCTACTGTCGCGTGCAGCTGCATTCAGTAAGGCTAAAGCCCACACACAAAGCACAGGTGTGATGTGAAGCAAAGTGAAGATGGATGACTGTGACAATGACAGCGCAAAAGCAACTTCAAGGGGGATGACGCAATCATCTTCCCGCCTGTCTTCGAGGGAGAAAATCTCGATGCGTCTCGCCACGTAGGCGCAATCCGCGTGTGTAGTGCGGCCGTCAATGCCTGAGAGAGCGCCACGCCAGCTGAGCTCCCAAGGCACGCGTGGCAGGCGCTGCGATCGGGCCGACCAACGATCAAGCAACGCAATCGTCAGTGGTCCCGCAAGTGACCCCCTTTCGATTCGTGGTCTGTCCGCACGCTAAATCTGATCCAGTTTAACTGGTAATTTTGGAGAAGCGTCCAATCGCTGTTCGAAACTGATCTGGCAATATCCATAATACGAGGGGTCCACGTTGGCAGATGAATGAAAGCATTCATCAAGGCCCTGCCGCCGCCCTTGAAGTTGAATCATGCTTCCGCTTCGTCTCTTCCACAGAACCTTGCACGCCTGAGACAAAAAGGCAACCATCTTGTGGACATGCTTCACTCTCGAATCGCTCGTCGAATAGGAAGAAAGATCTTCTGCTGACCAGGATTTCCAATGGCTCTTGTTTCTCGAAACCTGAATGGAAGAAGGGTCCACGCAACGCCGAGTCCGGTAATGAATCTGGCTTGTAACAGCCCCCATCTGACGTGTGCTTTTAGAACCCAATGTGGCGGCACGTCTGTCCGCCACATAAACGTTCGGCAACACAGAAAGCAGATGGATTGATCTTGCAACGTTCATGCAACCCCAATGTACCGTCAGCTCCACCTTATCGCGATGACGTGGATTTTTCTGGAGTTTCAAGAACCTCTATATGGGACGGTTGGAGTGAAACAGAAGTGACAAGGTACATTAATACGAGCTGTGTATAATATTCACAAAACAGGGCAGTATAAGTTTCCGAGCAAAAAACTATCTACGGTTTGGCTGGTTGTCAGCCCAAGGGAGGAAGTTGGACAAGTGACTGATGAGGGAAACCTGTGAGACCACGTCCCTCGCCCCCCTAATAGCATTCTTTGTGCTCCTTGCGGCTGAAGCAATAACTGGAGTCACCGAGGGAACAGGCACCACCGCTCTCTCCTCAATTATCGCTGTCATGGCAACAATAGAGAGAACACAATGAGATGAGGGAAGAATGGAAGCAGTGACAAACCCAAAAATAACCCCCAACTTTCATGCAAAGAAACGACTGGGGGTACATTCCGCTCTGGACATGTCCCAATCGAAAGTGTCTCAATCGATTCTACCGCATTGCATCGTATTACACCGAATTACACCCTAGTTTCAAACATTGTCGATTTTTTCGCGTCTCTGGTTTAGTTCGGTTCGGAGCGGTACACTCGATTGGGACACTTTCTTTGAGAAAGTGTTCAGCGCGGAATGTACCCTGAAGCAGATAGAACTAGCCATTGACAACCTTCAAAATTAGTAATCGGAAACTCCCAGGGAACTCCCACCTGCTGTGCGTGAAGCTGCCAAGCTGCCAACTCTCCGCAACCCATCCTCGGCGAGCCGCACTGCACGAGCGGAATTTCTGATCCCTTGCGATATCTCCTGACTGCATTCAGAGAAACGGCATAAGTCACGTCACAGTTAAATCGTTTAGGAACCCACAAACTACCTGTGGTTCTATGGAATAACTCCAACGCGTCCAGTGAAAATGAGAGGACGCTTCTGCACATGACAGCCCAGCTGGACAGAGCAGAGGCCACCTGAAAGCGCCGGATTCCCAAAAACTCATCTGAGAGTCCCCTCGGATAACCTGAGGTCGCTCAGCTGCATGCTCAGGTCGCTCATCTCCCTTGCATCTGGCCACACGCTCATCTGAGGTCGCTCAGCTCCATGCTCAGGTCGCTCATCTCCATGCCTGACAGCTGCACAGCCCGCATACACCTCGCCATACACCTTGCACCTGCCCTGGCCATGCGCTCACCTGAGGTCGCTCAGCTCCATGCTCAGGTCGCTCATCTCCATGCCGGACAGCCGTACAGCCGCCATCGTCCCTGGCACCTCCTCCCTTGCCACCTCCGCTAGCCGCTCCAACGCCTGTGCTGCCTTGCGAATGGCCTGTGGGACACGATGGGGGAAAAGGCCAGCGAGGGGGAGGGGGAGAGTCTGAAGAAGCACTAGCAAATGCACACACAAGTTTCTGCCACCTCAACCCTTTCCATCTCTGCTGGCCGCTCCAAGGCCTGTGCTGCCTTGCGGATAGCCCAGGGGAAACTAATTGGAAGAGGATGGGGGAACGGGCGGCGTGCTATTGCCATCTCTTACAGAAGCTAGCCCTAACATGCTGGGTGCGAATGGGTGCTGCGCTCTCAGTATGCACCCATGCCGTCCTCAGTATGTACTCACGCCGTTCTCAGTATGTACTCACGCCGTTCTCAGTATGTACTCACGCCGTTCTCAATATGTACTCCCGCAGTTCTCAGTATGTACTCACCCAGTTCTCAACATGTACTCACGCTGTTCTCAATATGTACTCACACCGTTCTCAATATGTACTCACGCCGTTCTCAATATGTACTCACGCCGTTCTCAATATGTACTCACGCCGTTCTCAACATGTACTCACGCCGTTCTCATGTACTCACCAAAAGGGCTGGCACGGCAGCAACGAGCATGACAGAGAGCGCTGCTGTGATCTGCATGGAACCACGGCAAAGGGGAGAGGACAGGGCATGGGAGGGGAGCGGGGATGGGAAAACGAAGGACGGGTTTTTGAGTTGACTCAGAAAACAAGGGCTGACACGGCAGCAACGAGCATGACAGAGAGCGCTGCTGTGATCTGCACGGAACCACGGCAAAGGGGAGAGGACAGGGCATGGGAGGGGGGAGGGCAGAGGGGAACGGGGAGCGAGGAAGATTGAAGGACGGGTTTTGGGGAGTGGAGGGGTTCTGGGGAGGCACCAAGTGTTCTAGAGGCACCAAGGAATGAGGTGATCTAGAGTTCCCTACATTCCGTGACAGTCCTTCGTTGTTCCATTGCATATCAGGCCTGTGATAACGAGCGTACACATAACAAGACCCACACATCGAGAGTGACACATACATCCCGATCCTACACTCTGAGCCTGTACACACCGAGGCTGCACTTCAGCCCCGTACGTACCGAGCATGCCACGAAGCCCAGGCAGAGCACAGGAAAGTCGATCGGCGCTCCTTCCGCCCCGAATCTGATTGGCGGAGCCGCTGATATCAACGCCATGTGGTGCGACGCAGTTGGTCGCGATGCTGACGTGGCTGACGGATAACCACCATGGGACGCGGATTCAACGCGGCAGCTCGAAGAGGACGATATTTGTCCGAAAGATGCGAAGTTTCCAGTATTGGTGTTGGTGTTGGCGTTCGCGAAAGTCGCATGGTTAGTGTTGACGGAATGGTTGTCGTTGGCGAAGGCTGAATGGTCAGTGCTGCTGTGGACGGACGTTGACGGGACGTTGACGGACGGCGAGTTGTTGACGGAACGCGGAGGCGAGATGTTGGAAGATGCTTGGTCATGGAGGAACGCGGCGGCGCTTGCACTGCGGTGGTTTGAGCGTCGCCAGGTGTCGCGGGAGAACGACGCGACGTGTGCGACGGAGGAAAACAAGGGTTGACGAAGACGAGACGAATGCGCTGACGGACATCGGAGCGAAGCCTGCGCGTGGCCGTCACGAGTTAACAACGAACGGCTTCCCTGCCGCGATGCTGCTGTTGTTGCGCAAGGATCTGCTTTTAGCGAAGGTTGGACGCTACCCTGCGTGGATCCAAGAGTCTTAGCCGTGGGAAGAAAAACGGTTTGAAGACGCGCAGCCATGGCTATTGGTCTAGCAAGCGAGATACTTAATCAGACAAAGTGCGGACTCGCGGTGGTCTTAATCGTGGCAAGACTGCGTACAGGCTAACGAAAAGAGGAAAGTAGCCCAAAGGGAACTGTAGGGAGTGTAGCTTTTGTTCAGCTGGAAACTGCTTCACGAGACGGCCTCGACATAAGGTGGTGTTTCCAAGGCGGATCTCCAATGCTTGTAATAGTTTCACAACATTGGCGGCGTGGAGGGCTATCTAACTTTCCCCGGATTTGTAAATCTCGCGTCTCGCGATATATAAGCAGGCTGAGACTCGAAAGGGAGAAGAGAAAACAAGCTGACACAATTCAAACCACTATCAGGCAGCCACAACATCAGCTGCCCTGCTATGTACCGTAACAAGTGTGAGCAGGCGCAGAGCCGTGAAAGCACTTCAGTGTTGATTGATGAAAGAAGATCTCAGCCACATAATTTCTGTGGGAGAATGGAGAAACCGAGAGAGTGTTGGAGCGCGTTTGGTTCGTCCGATCATTCCGACATTCGCTGTTCCGCGGGTCCGCTTGTTGTTGTGAGGGAACGGGAGTCAGAAACCGTAGCTTAAAGTGTGCGGTGCTTAAAGATAGCTCCCGCACTTAGTTTAGAAGTTCGTCCTCTATTTCTTACTGAATACTCCCTGGATAGTTGCCTGGCGCAAGGAGGGAGGCCAAGCGAGAATGGATGCGCTGGCAAACACCCTTGCGCGTGTCAGCAGACGGATAACCAGCACTCTGCATTTGAAGGCGACCAACAAAAATCAGCCACGTCAAGCTCAATGGTATCGTACTATGTCAGCGACACGAGAGCCACGGCCAACACGAGAAGATTCTTTTGAAATATCACAACACTGCAGTTAAGAAACACTGAAAAATATGTGAATTTCTAGCAACGT